GGAGGAAAAGATTCTGAAGCTTGGAGAGAAGGGTTGTGTGGTTACTAAGGAACCTTGCGTCATTGTCTTATCCACTATTGCTTTTACAGACAGCATCATTAAAACTCACGAAGAACAAATCATCCCCAAGCACTACATAATTAGGTAGATAAATGACTTTGAATTTATAATTTGCTTTCAAGGGCCAACTATACTTATACTATACAACTGTACAATTAATTATCCGTGATCTCTAAAGGCAGTCAGTGCATTATATAATTCACTTAATTTTCTTAAATAGAAAAGTGCCTCATGATTAACTTTTCTATATACTAAAAACAACCAAATATAAAACACAACTGAAGTTTCATGATCTACCTAATCCAATGTTCTTGAGAGACTTCAGTAAGAAGAGCAAGATATCAACTGTTACATGAAGAATTAACACATGAACACATAGCCAAACTATAACCTGGTAGCATGCTAAAGTAACATAACATAAAGCAAAATAATTTCCTTTGTACATAAAAATAACTTGTAAAATGTACAGATACATCAAACTTATTCAGTAATACATTTCGTTTCATACAGTTGTCTTTGGATAGAATGCTTATTGGTTGCCCTATTATATGACAGGCACTGCATTCGAGTATTGCTGGGTCTAAAAATCATTGTTATGTTCCTCTCCTTAAAACATTCAGTTAACTGAGGAAGCCAGGCATGTAAGGACATATTTGTGTGACACTATATTGTACTCCCAGAGAACTCTATTTTGAGTGACTCCAGCAACCTTGTTACCCTTAGGCCAATGACACACTTTATTGAGCCAGTTGGACTCTGATGGTTGGAGGTGTCATCAAGTTAATGAAATGAATAAAGCTACCTGACCTTCGTGATGATCCAATGACAGCGTGAAAATGGCCCACTCAATCTAACTAGATGAACAGCACAGACTGGGACTGGATATTATTACAGGGAGGCAGACTGTATTCAATGTTAGGAAGAACTTTCTAACAAAACTGCTCTAAGGTGGAGGTAGTGATCTCTTTTCCACTGAACACGTTAAAGTTTGAAAAAGCATGTGCTAGGAATGTTTAAGAATTTAGAGCAACATTGTCTATACAAAGTTGGAAGTTATAATAAATTCAAAGGTTCTTTTCAAAATAAAATATAATGTGATTAAGAGATATCTTTTGGTAAGTGTCTAATAGTAGCACACTGTGATTAAATCCCCTCTTTAGGTGTTAAATTTTATTAAGAACTAGCAGCATATTGTCAAATAGAACTTGTTGTGGGGGGAGGTCAGATGCTTACAGGCATCCTCCCTGAGGGCTATCAGTTGCCAGACTGCAGTGGGCCCTGTTCCCTGCTGTTAAGGACAATTGACAGGCCGTAGTCATGACTTGGTTCCTACAGGTGGGGTTTACACCCTACTGAGAATGGTTCCTATGGAGACCCAGCTGCCATCCTGACTCTAGGATCCGCCCATCTTGTCACATGTATACCACCAATCCCTCCTCTTCCTATTGCGTGTATGGCCCTAGACCACCTCCTCTCATTGCTGTATAAACTATAGTGCAACCCCTTCCTCTGACGTATGTCTTTACCTGTAATGACTGGGCTTGCACGCCCCCAAAGGTATATAGGCCTGGGTCAGCAATAGAGAGCTCCCTTTCTCCCTCTCTCGGCTCCTCCCTTGACCTCTCCTGGGCTCCTTCTCCTCCCCCGGCCCCCTTTCCCCTGTTCTCTTTCCGTTCCTGCTCTCTCCACGTGGACCACCAAGCGGGGCTGAGGTGAGCAATGCTACCATGAAATGTGTCTGACTCCATTACTTGACTCTCTTTTATCTCTCATGCTCTTGATGACTTTAATAATATATTTATATATCTCAACCCTACAATTGTGCCTATCTAACTCGTGATTTGTGGTGGGGGGCTGGCTCTCCCACCTCAAACCACAACTTGTAAACACATCTAGATTTTTAAAATATCAATGTTTTTTCCAAATCATATGAGCTTCATCCAGAATCACTACATTGGCTGTATAACTACATGTAGAGGTAAATACAGAAGAGTAAATCAGAATAAAAGTTTAGCTACTGGCCTTTACGTATCCATTAACTATAACATAAGTGGGCACCAATGACAGATGGAAGGGAAATGCTTAGTTACTCACTGTCAGTGTCAGCACCATTTATTGACTTTAGCCTGAGCAGTAAAAACTAAATAAATAAACAAATACCGCTAATGGTGTTTTAAGACTCAAATACTATTGAAATCTGGTGCATTGAAGTCACAATCCCCAAATGCTGACTAAAATGGAAAGGAAAACAACTAGTAATATGTGTGCATAAACTTTTATCTGAACAAGACAAAACAAAATAACACATTCCTTGCCATTGCGTTGATTCGTATTTATAGCAAGCCCACAGGACCCTCAGAGCTGCTGGTGTGTTCAAACTACTGACCTTGTGTTGAAGAAAAATCTACTTTGCTGTAACTCCAGGTCTTGATTATTGAGGTACTCCCTGGATATTTGGGTCTTACACTTTCATTTGTAAATATGAATTTCTAGGATGTTGTATCCAATAATAATACATTATCGCTATATGCAGAAGACTATAATGATTACATTTATTGCTTCCAAATGTAAAACTGTAAACACATGCTACCCTCTAAACATAGCTCTGATTTTCACACTTAACCCAGACTCAATTGCTTCTTGGTATCATGAAAAAAAATCACATTCTATCCCAGCATGCGGTCACTCTCAAACAAATGGTATTTTAGCACTCAAGGCTGGCAGTGATGAACACTACTGTGATTAAAAACCATTTCTGTCCCTCCCATTATCAAAGCTAAGCATTATGGAAATATAGTTCATTTCTATCATGCAAATATTCTTCATACTCATTATGCATGTCAAGGCTGGAGATGAAAAGGTGCTTCACATTTTAACTTACGTTTAAAGATAAGTCAATACTCATTAACTTAGAATTGACCTCACATAGATAAAACGATATATATATATATGTGTGTGTGTATATGTATATATATATGTATTTTAAAATATCACACACCCACTTTCCATTTTGGAAGACATTGCAATAGGTAAGACGAAGAGAAAAGCCCATAAATAGACGTTATTTCTCCTTACCTAACTTTACAGATAGGAACAAAATTTCCTGCTGGGGGTTCACTCCAATACTAATGTCAGCGGTCCAGAAGAGAATGGGGCCAGGAGACATACAACGATGCCATGGTGACAGGCAAGACCAAGAAATAAGAGGATAAATAACTGACCCAGTGGTTACACTCATACAGGTGGGGTACTTTGAGGATTATGAAGAAATATTTTCAATATGGCAGATATATCAAAGGAAAGTGCTACTGTTCTGAGAAGATGCATATTCAGAGAGGAGGAAATCACTTATTAATGGAGTTGAGGCCAGCACAGGATGCTCTAGTACCAAGGAGAAGGGAAACAGTAAATAAAGGCAGAGGTGAGGATTTGGACCTAGACTGAGTGTTTTCTTCTCATTGTAATTGGAGTATCACAAAGGTACAAATGTATAGAGACAGCCGTAAGTTGAAATGATTAATAAATAACCTGTAGCCATTAGAGAACACTAAGGCAAAACATCTTGTACATTAGAGAATGTATTTAATCAAACACAGAGGGAGTCAAATAGGCCTTTATAGCAAGGATATTTCTAGAAACATTACCCATAAGTCAATGGCCAATGACAAAAATTTAAAATCAAGAAGATGATACAATAATGGAACAAGATCAGTAGGGATTAGGTTTTTGGTTTAGTTTCTCCTTTTTCTGAAAAAGATGAGCAATTCCTAGTCAGCAAGTAACACAATACTTAAGCAAACCTTGTGCTTAATATCTGTTTAAATTAACATTTCAGTAAACCTGGTGGAGGCCACTCACTAAGTACTTCTCAAATAATGTTGGCTGGCAGACAGACAGACAGACACACACACACCCTCCACTGAATTTTCCTTCATAAAAAATGAACACACAGCAAAATGCAGCATCAACCAAACTTGTGCTTTTATAGAGAACTGCCAGTTCTTTTTATGCAACTGTGATTTGAGTAGAGATAATTTTTATTTAAGACTTACACAATAATATCATTCACTATTCCAGTCCATCTTGAATAATATGCTTGGGAGAAAGGATTTAAAAATTTTCTATGGCAAAATAAAAAGACGTTTATTTAGGTATAATCCACTGCGGAACACATTTATAAGGACTAACATTGACTACATTGAGCAAATAATCAGAGAAGCTCGATTATATAAAGAAAAATGGGGCATCAAGGTTGGAGGGAGGCTTACTAACAACCTATGATAAGCAGATGACACAATCTGGCTTGCTGAAAGTGAGGACTGGAAGCACTTGCTGACGAAAATCAAGGATGGCAGCCTTCAGTGTGGATGACAACTCAATGTAAAGAACACCAACATCCTCACAACTGGACCAGTAGGTAACATCATGATAAATGGAGAAAAGTTGAAGTTATCAAGGACTTTGTCTTCCTTGGCTCTACAATCAATGCTCATGGAAGAAGCAGTCAAGAGATCAAAAGATGTATGAGGTAAATCTGTTGCGTAAGCCTTTAGAGTATTGAAAAGCAAGGATGTTACTTTGAGGACTAAGGTGTGCCTGACTCAAGCCATGGTATTCTCCATTGCCGCATATGCATGTGAAAGTTGGCCAATGAAAAAGATGAACGAAGATGTGTCAATGCATTTGAATCGTGGTATTAAAGAGAAAATTGAAAGTACCATGGACTGCGAAAAGAACAGACAATTCTGTGTTGGAAGTAGTACAGCCAGAGTGCTCCTGAGACAAGGATGCGAGACTTCGTCTTACATGCTTTCGACATGTTGCCAGCAGAGATCAAGCCCTGGCGAAGGACATCACGCTTGATAAAGCAGAGGGGCCGCCCAAAGAGAGGAAGGCACTCAAGGAGATGCCCTGACACCATGGCTGCTACAATGGGCTCAGGCAAAGGAATAAGTGTAACCCAACGGCACAATTCTACTCTGTCGCACACGGTCACTGAGTCAGCATAGACAGCAACAACATGCGTTGTAGTCTCCTAAGATGGGCAGATCATTAGATCTTAGATCTTTTCACCTGTGGAATAGCTCGTGTGTTCAAACCACTGGCTTTTCAGTGATCAGACCTTTCAGTAGTAGATGAGCTCTTAACCATTGTACTATCAGTGATCCTTCTACCGTGTTAGCAGCTGTCAAATTGGATCCAACTCAGCGCAACTCTGCGTACATTGCCTGGTCCTTCACCATCCTCAAAATATTGATGTGAGCCCATTGTTGCAGCCAGCCAATAGATCTCATCGAGGGTCTTTGTTTGTTTGCTCTAGGCAGCTACATTTGGTTACAGAGAAATCCAGTCAGTGTATTTCTCCAGACTGAAATCAGGGGCCTTAAAGCAAAATCCCTTCTTTCAAGGGATTCAAGGCAGAATCACTCTAGCTGAGAACAAGTGTGGCTGATCCTCTTACATGATTTCGGTGAAAGATGTGTACATGTCTAAACAAACGTGTGTTGCAAATAGGAGTATTACTATCAATACCAAAAGCCTGGGCCACTTTTTAAAACACAAGCAATTCATTATGAATAATTTAATGTAGTAAAGGAACATGGTACTTTACAGTTAATATATTTGTTATTGCAGAAAATTAACATGGTATTGATTTCAAACTTGAAATCTCTTACAACTAAATTTTGTACATTTAAAAGCTGCACCTTATTTAGGGGTCCGAGTTTTACTCCCTTCATTATGTTGGAACCTCGCAATGACAGGGAGAATGTAGCTTGGAATACCATCCCATGTTCTAAGATCTTCCCTCAATGGGTTACAAGTTTTGTGATGAAGTCAGGCCAGATTTAACTTAGAACTACTAATTAAATGAAGAATGCTTGTTTCCTAAGCCTGGGCCAGAAAATAAGAAGAGGGCTATTAATACTTCTACAAACTAAAGCCAACCGGCACTGAGACTTAATAGAGTCAGCAATTTGAAAAGCATTTCAATAACTCTAAGTGACATAATGGCATTAATACATGGTACATTGTGCTCTTAATGAAAAGATGGCTCATTTAAAAAATGGATTACGGTATTGTTCAGATAGTGAGGCAATATATTACATTTTAGAAAAAAATATGACTGAAAATATGGTAAATGAAAAGAAGTGCTTAAAAGGCATTAACTTATTATCAGAAATTATTTTAATAATTTATACCTAGCTAATAGAGCAGGACTCTAACCTCTTATTTTTCACTTCACGTAATAAAGAGTTTAATGATACATTTCTATTACCTAGAGAGACTTCTCCCATGAAGACATACAAATTTGTGAACCTTGGTGTTTTTACCAGTCTTGCATGGAAAAGTAAAACTCAAAGCCTCAAAGAGCCTTCAGTATACATAAAGCCTAAGTGACAGTCAGTACAATGTTTGGTAAAATGCACTTCATATTTGAAGCTTCTGAAAACTATTAGTATACATATGATAGGTATGCATCGTAGTTCTCTAATAACCATGATAGTTTATGAAGACATAAGGACTACACCCTCCATCACTACGGCCAACACACTTCCTGTGTTTTCAGAACTGTGATAGTGTTTGAACGTCCAGCCATATATCGCTTTTAGAAATGATTAGAAAACCAAGGGTCCCTGTATTTATTAAACTGAACCACCTGGCAGTGAAATTCAGTTAAGGCTCTTGGCATTGGCGACACTTCTTCCCATTCAGACCTCCTGCTGTGGTAGACCTGCACTTCATCAGTGATTTCATCTGGTGCGTAATCACCACCTAATATGTAAATTTTATCCTCGATTCCAATTGCACCTGCATTAAATCCTGCACATTCGAATGAGCCTTCACCTTTCCAAACACAAGTGTCTGGACAAAAACTGTACACCTTATAGGTGGAGAGGTCACATATGTACAGCCTGTAATTGACTGGGACTGCTTTAATGAGTGTTGCATGAAAAAATTGCCCAAACTCTGCTACTAGTTCAGACCACTGATCAGTGGCAGCATCGTATTTTAGAAAGCAATCAAGAGATGGATTGAAGGCGTCGGTGATCTCTACCTCTGATCCCAGAACATAAATTACATGCTGGCATGCGCTTGCTTCCGGATAATATATACCTCTGGGTAGTGGGCTAACGGAGACCCATTCTTTGGAGAGAGGATCATAAGATTCAACAGCTAAGAGGCTTCTAATGTCCTGAGATTCTCTAGTCTTCCCACCAATGACAAACAGTTTATTGACAGCCATAACCGATGTATGCATGGTTCTTGGCGTTTTCATGGTTGATACCAAGAACAAGTCATTCTTGACTGGGCAGTAGCACCAGGTTTGATCAGTGGCATCATGACATGGCTCAGCAATATGAAGTCGAACTGTTCTACAACACTTCCCTTTGCAGCCACCTGTCAAGAATAGTTTCTCTCCATAACTAGACAGGCTGGATCCTGGCAAATCAATCAGGTGTGATTGGGGCAGGATTTTCCACGAATCAGATTTAATATTATAGCAAAAAGTGTACTGATTTTCTCCGTTTTCCTCAGTTTTGTGAACAAATATATACTTCTCGGTTGTAGATGGTCGAGCATCAGGGAAAAGTCCACCGGAATCTTGCACGCACTTAATTGCATCCGTGATGATATCAAAGCAGTTTGTGCTTTTGAGTAAATGCTCTTCGCTGAGCAGATAGCCTTGCAGTGTCTCCACAGACAGCTGATGTAGTCTCACGGTTTTGATCAAGCAAGGCAGGTGCTTTTGCCTCGATTCTAAATCATGTTGAATCCAGCTAAGGACCACTTTCAGGACAGTTTCTTCTTCGGGAACATTCAATCCATCGGATTCTAGACATTTCTGTAGCACTCCCAAACTCATCTCTAAGAAGTCACTGGATTTAAACAACAGAGAAAAGTGATTCTGTACGAAGTCTAATGCATGCTCAAACAAACGGGTGGAGCCGTAGCTGTCTGATATTGACAGCAACTGTAAACAATTGACGAGATCAATACTCTTTATTAAGAAGTCACTGCAAGCTTGAGCTAGGAAGGGAACTTGAAGAAATGAGGACAACTGAAAGAACATCTCTACATTATCATCGGTGATCTTTGTTTCCCCAGTGTAGGCATAGTCAAGAAAGGCCTTCACCGCTTTAGCGGACAAATTGGTAATGGTCACGCTTCCACCATCTCTTTCTTTCATGTGTACTTCAAACATGGCCCTGAAAAAATAAAGACCACAGAAGAACAAGTAAAAAGGAATGGTACATTTCATAATTATGTTCACAATAAGGATGTTTCCTTTACTCTAAAGTTGCTGGAAAATTAAGGTGAAATGTATTTTTAAAGCATCCAATGACTTATTTTAATACTTACACAAATAACGCCAGCATCCCCAAATCAAACCCATTGCCATTGTCAAGATGACTGTAGATCAAAGCAACCCTACAGGGTCTGAATCGAGCCGAACCTTGGGGCTTCTGAGGTTGTAAATCTTGACAGAAACAGATCGCACGTCTTTGCTTTGCAGAGCGCTGGCAGGTGAGACCTACCCACAGTTCAGTCCGCTTCTGAGTGCTCAGCTGCTGTGCCACCGGGGCTCCGCAGTGCTGGCAAATAGATGTATTATATGTCTCTCCTATTGGAGGAATATATATTTCTAATAGCTAAGTTGTCTAAAAGATTCAAATTTTGTATACTAATTTGATATTCTTATACGCATTCACAAAATGAAAACAAAATCTAATGTCAGAATGTATTTACTGGTGAATTAGGATCAACTGCAGTGTGGTACGAGATGCTTGCAATGAATTCTTTTTTTTCTTTCTTTTTTTGTGAGAGAATCCACCAAGTAAGACAAACAATATCTACGTCTAAAATGCTCCATTTTACTCAACACTTTAGGGAAAGGGGTACATGATTTAATAAAAATTAACGTACTATAATTCCAAAAAAGGCTGAAATATGCTTTTATGGTAACAGCTACTGAGAGGCGATGAGACCTCATTTGTATAACTGGACCCACTTGAAAGCACTTCAAAACAGGTTCTGACTCATACTTTCATCGAATCTAAAGTAATTGGGAATTTCATTGGGTCAATTTAAGCAAATATAGAAATTATTTGGAAATGTTGAGGCAGGAAGCTATCAGTATTTTACTACTGGTTTTAATAAAAATAAGATTGCCACCCGCTCTTACATTAACTTCATAACTAGAGTTTTTAATTTTCATACTGTGAACCAAGGACAGAAGCTGATCATTCATTGAGATTTAAGGTCGAGCCATGGTGGTGCTGTTGGTGAAGCGAGGGCCACTCTCAAAAGGGAGGTGTTCTGAACTCACTAGCTGCCCTGCTGGGGAAAGATGTGGCAGTCTGTTTCTTTACAAATCTGTAAAGATTTGTAGCTTTGTAAACTGTATATAGCAGTTCTACTCTGTCCTAGATGGAATCTCTCAATGGTAGTTTTTGTTTTATTTTTAGTTTGGGTTTCAGGTCTGGTTAAATGCTTATATGTGTTTGTGCCAATATTACCCAGAATATCCTTGTGATCATGGCTCGCAGATGTCAAAGTACTACATAGAGAAAATGATTTACTACATCTATTTGGTGTAGAGCATAACATGTTGGACTGTTGGTAGTTCAAACCCACTAGCTGCTTCTCAGAAGGATGAGGCTTTTTGCTCCCATAAAGATTTAGAGTCTTGGAAACTCACAGGGACAGTTCAACCCTGTCCATTGTGAATCAGAATTGATTTGATGACAATGAGTTTGAGTTTTGACATTCAACAGAAAAACATGAATGGTCTTCCAAAGATAGAATACCTTTGGATAATAAAGGAAAAGGAAGGATAATAAAATAACTCCTATTACATTAAATATAACACCTTAACATTTACATACAGAGGTATGAAAATATATAATTTTTATATATCCATTATTCTTAATTTAACTTCTCAATTCTCTGCATGCTACACATTATACAGTATTTCAATAAAGTGAATACCAATTCAGAAATATGAATCTGTGATGACAATTACATTCAATTATTAAAACAAAGTGAAATTAGAAAAGGAAGCTTGGTGACATAGTGTGCCAAGCTTGGGCTATAAACGAGGTTGGCAGTTCAAACACAATAGCTACTCTGTGGGAAAAAGATAAGGTAGTCTGCGTCTCTAAGGATTTCCAGCTTCAGAAAACCTATGAAGTAGTTCTACCCTATCTTATAGAGGTACTATGGATTTGAATAGACTTAACAGCAGTGGGCTTGGGATTTGGCTGGTCAGTTAGGGGAGCCCTGGTGGCACAGCGGGTTATGCTTTGGGCTGAAAACCAGAAGGTTAGCAGTTGGGAGTCCCCAGCTGCTCTGCCGGGGAAGCCCAAGACTTTCTACACCCATACATTTCAGTGTGGGAAACCCACAGGGGCAGTTCTACTCTGTCCTACAGCGTTGCTATGAGGCGAAAGCAACTTGATGGGCATGAGTTTGGAGTTTTGGTTTACAGAACAGTAATATTAAGAGCATGGCTTCTAGAGTCCAGCTACTTGTATTGGTATGTAGCCTCTGACACTTATTAGCTGTGTGGTCTTGGGGAGTTTACTTAATTTCATTGTGCTTCAAATTCTGTACTTGAAAATAAGGACATTTACTACTTATTTAATTGATTGGCTGAAAGGAATAAATGTTTAATAAGTCACAGACCTGATGCAACTGGAAAGAGGTGTCCTCTGAGGTATGGCCTACTTCCTACACTTGTATACAAAGACACCATGGGAAGCTTGCTTGAGTTTTGCAAGGATTGGATCCTGTATCGAGCTCATCAACCTCCAGTTCTCTGGACTTGAGCCAGTGGCCTCCCATATTACCTGCCGACCCCAGGAGCCATCCGGGGCTTGCCATTTGACCTACTGATAGTGGATTCATTTGCCTCTCCAGTCACTACCCTGAGTTAGTTGCTAACCTTGAATACATCCACCTCTGAAGCTCATGGTGTTTCTGCTGATCAGGCCCTGAAGCTTCTCAGGTCAGGAGAAGGCTCAGTTTAACATCCGATATATGGATGTAGATAGACTCAGGTTGGACTTACTTACTTATACAACGGTGTGAGCCATTTTCTTGTTATAAAGTTCTCTTTCCCCATTATATATATCACTGGTCATGTGTTTCAAGAGAGCTCAGCCTAACACACCAACACAGGTAAGCTCATATTGCTATACTGCATCCTAACTATCTTTAAATTATCCAGTTAACAGGTAAATCAAATGTATAATCTTATCATAAACTAGTTATGATATTTGTGAATTTGTGATTCTACTTCAATTTATCTCTGGTGATTTTACGTTACAATTTTCATTTTCCAAACACATTTTAAAGGGTACTTATCATGCATTGCATTGTTGTCTGCCATTTTATATTATCTTCTCCATATTCCAATAACCTTGATCATAACATAAAATATTATTAATTAGCATCCCTGTAATACTAAAGTATAAATTATAGAATGTCTATCTATATTTTGTTCAAAACAGGTAGAAAATTTTAAAAGTACACTACTTAGATTTGTTTAACAGTATTTTAAAAAGTTAAAATCCGACCCATAAAAAGTTTGGAATTAGTTAAAAGTACCATGGACAATGATTATGTATCAATACACTTAATTAATACGTACATAACTTTAACAAAGAGAGCAGAGGAATGAAAATTCAAATATTTACAGGAATCTCATTAGCATGATAATGTTATAAAAAAATCAAACTTTGTGTTTACACCAGAGTTTCACTACTTTTTTTGGTTAGGCTTAAAAATGATAACTATATTAACATCATGTAACATTAATCTAATGTAATTAAACAATTACTTATTTAATAGTTATTTTAATCCTCAAAATTATTTTATGAAATCAGTGCTATTTTCATTATGCTGATTTTTTTAATGGGAAAGTTGAAGAGTGAATAGGTTAAGTAATTTACTTAAGGCACATGGCTAAAAAGTGTTGATGCTGGTAATTAGATTTTAGCACACCTATAGGATCTCTAAAGGAGCCCTGGTGGTGTAGTTGTTATGCATTGGGCTGCTAACTGTGAGGTCAGCAGTTTGAAACCACAACTGGTCAGAGGAAGATGAGGCTTTCTACTCCCGTAAAGGGTTACAGTTTTGGAAACCTACAGGTCTACACTGCCCTATAGGATCACCAGGAGTCAGAACTGACTCAATGGCAGTGAGTTTGGTGTTTGGTCTTGAGGCCAGGTATTTAACTATTATACTTTCCATGATGAAGGGCGAAGGGAAAAGTAAGGAAGCATAGGAGTCACATGGAAGAAAGCAGTTTTGGAAGGAACTCTGGGGCCTTAGCACGCCAGAACACAGGAAGGATCAGGACACCTGCTTGCTGCCCCTGATCCCGAGTTGAAACTGTTACTCCCAGGTTGATCCTCATGCCAAGTGGGCGTCTGTTCCTTCCCTAGTGAATGACATACGTTTAAGTACAGTTTGTGAGCTGTGTGAGATTTTGCAGCAAATTACTGAATGCAACAGAGCGAGAAGAGGGCAGAGGGGAGGGAGCACAGCCAGGTCAGAGATAATAGAATGCATGTGTTTATTTTATAGCAGCCTGGAGAAGTTAAAATCTGGGACGTTTAAGAACCAGCTTTGTGATGATTGTCATAAATGAAATATGTTTACTCAGGTTCCACAAAACTGTGGGGAGTGCTGGCATAGGAACAGCTGAGCTTTAAAAAGGGCGGACTTACACCCTCATACTCAGGCATTTCTAGTTAACATTTATTTTTTCTAATTACCTTTGTTAAGAAACAAGTGTTGCATGTCCTGTGGGAGAGAAACTGAGTGCATTTAAAAACATTAAGGATGAATATTATAAACCTTAGACACCGAGAGACTAGCTAAAGTACCTGAAAAAATCACTGCAAGCTGCAAGCACACAACGATGGCATGGGATTATTTCATCCTTCACAATTAGATTGAAATCATAAAAGACATTCTGTTCTCTAAAAGTCTGTAGTGTACTTAGGATTTTCTGCCCATGATCTTCTGACACAAGGAAGTTGCTTTTCGTTTTGGATGGAATTCCATTAAATGAAGTTTGTTGATTGGAGTCATGTGGATTATCCATAGCCAATTCGACCTGCTCTTAGAACTAGAATTTAAAAAAAAAAAGAAAAAGAATTCACTAATGTAATAGTCTTGATGAAAATTTTTCAGGCCCCAAATTTCCTTCCATATCAATTTATATGAAAATATTTATAACAGCTAGCATACAACTATCTTAAGATAGTAATAAACCTTATCTTAAATGAAATTGTTTATTTAGAAAATGATTTACATAGGGATTTATTACCAGGGCATCAGACGAGTTTGGTCTAGTTCAATTCTACTCCAGATTTACTGAATAAGACCCTAGACGTAAAGAATCATTGTATCTGTAGTGGAAATTTTGGGGGCCGGGGCCGGACTAGGCAGCCCCCATCTCCTCTCCAGCTCCTCAGGAGGATAAAACTTCAAGGTCCCCATTTCCAGCCTCTCGGGAGGATAAATGACCTAGTGAAGTATGCATCTTCTGCCCCAACCGTCCAAGGAGCTTATCTCTCCAGACCAAGGTTGTGCAGCCCCTGCCCCCGCACTCCAGGGAGTAGGTTGGCAAACAGCAAAGGCACTTCCCATGGATCCCATCCTGACTCAAGGTCCTGCAGCTGCAAGCAGAAAATCTCCCTTCTTGTTTTCAAAGTATGCCTCCCTAGCTCAAACCCTCTGTATCTCCCACCGCCTCACCGACAAGCTGCGAGTTCCCTGACCTAACTTGTTGGGTCTCAGAACTCCCCAGAAGCTCAAGAAGCTCCTGTCCCTCTCTGCTCTCCCTTCCCTCCCGGGAGCTCTTTCCCTACCCTAATAAAGCCGCTCTTAACCTCACATTCCCTGTCTCAGCGCTAACCTCTCAGAAATGTAAACTCTCAGCAGGGATCAAATCAGAATGAACTGGTTCAAAGCCATCCATCTTCACTATATATCTAATCTTAATGTCATATAAACGAGATATTTTTCTATGATATCTATTATTTGGGCTATCCAGCACATACCCCTTTAACCTTAACTCATTTTATTCAGGGATGAAATTAGCTGTTAAAATATTGATACTATGAGGAGGAACCCCCCCAAAAAAAATTTTTTTTCAAAGCTATATATTTAAATTTTTTTACAAAACAACCTTATCACCTTCAAAGTACTCTCCATTACACTTAATGCATTAGTCAAATCTGTGATTCCATTCTTGGAAACATTTTTAAAACTCATCTGTTTGGATGGCTGACAGCACCTCCCTGGATTTTTCTTCACCTCTTCTAAATCATCAAATTGCTGTCCTTTCTTAAGAAACAAAAAGAAGTCGCAGAGCAAGGTCAAGTGAGTCAGGTGTGTGTGTGTGTGTGTGTGTGTGTGTGTGATGCTGTTTTTGCCCCAAACTGGCGCACAGAGAATGCTGCATGAGGTGCATTATTGTGGTGGCAAAACAAGTCCCTGACTGCCACAAATCAGGCCTTCTTTGTTGAATACTGTTATACTATCTTTTCAAAACCTCTAAATAGAAAGCTTGATTAACAATTTGACCTGGTGGAATGAAGTTCAAATGCACTATGAGTCAACATTTTCATTCGTTCAGAAAGTTGACTGACGTCCAATTGACATTTCCCCTGAAAACCATGCGTACACTTGAGTTTTCCCATAGTGTTGTCCTTATAAGCTGTGTTCAACATCAACAGTTTCTGTGGCATATTTCCCGAGCAGGAAACAAAATTTCTGAGCCACGTGCTGTTCTCTTAAATCAGCCATCACAAAAAACAAGGTCCATGCGAAACTGATTTTATGAGCAAATTCACTGTGACTAGAGAGAACCTTGCGAGGGTGGCTGGAGAAGGTGACTAAGGAAAAAAAAAAAAGAGAGAGAGAACCTTGCCAGGCAATGCCACTGGGTGCACTAACTCAGAGGGGGTGGGGGTGGGGAAGAGGAGGAATGCTACGAAATCTCCGCTCTGCCTGGTGCAATTCCATTTTTATACAGGTGGCCAGCAAGCCACAAAAGCAACTGTGACTGCATCACACTGCAAGTTTAGCTCTAAGCACAAACATTTACAACACTGAAAGCAAAAAACAAACAAACAAAAAAGGAATTTGGTAACTAGAGAAGCCAGACAAATAGGAAACCTTGATCCCCTAGTCCCTCGTATATGCCAAGGAGCCCTTGTGGGGTAGGAGTTATATGTAGAACTGCTAACCAAAAAGGTCACCAGTTTGAAACCACCAGCTGTCCCGTGGGAGAAAGATTTAAACCAATAACTTGACATGATTCTGTGGGCTCAGATGGAGGTTCCTGCATGAGGGCTTCAATATGGCTACAGTCGATAGTTTTAGTTGAAATTAAATGGAGGCCTGGCTGGGTTAGACATCCAGTCAGTGTTCCAGAGCACCCTCTCGGGGTCAGAGGACTGCAAAAACAGACACCTATATTTTATCATAGATTATGGGCTATAAGAAAAAGGTTTCAATTGCCAGAGGGTATTGAATTTTTTTTTTCCTGAAAAGGGTGGGGGTAGGCCAAATAAATTTGGGAACCTATGTTCAACATGGAGTCTTCACTCACATTTCTGATACTTCAGCTATGAAAGCTACAACAGTGCGGTCTTCTCTCTTTATGTACTTTCTCCATGAGGCTGGGTTGTGTCTATTTGTCTTATTGTGTAGACCTGTGCACTAATGTGATGCTAGAAGCTATAGTACAAGTATTTCAAATACAAGCAGGGTCATTCATCGTATATGGATTTCAGTGGCACTTACAGACTAAGATAGACTAGAAAGAAGAACTTGGCAGACTATTTCTGGAAAAAAAAAAAAGGCCATTGAAAAGAAAAGATTCCGCAACCCTAAATTCTACACTGTGATAGGTGGATTTACTGTGCCAACCTGGCCAATAAGAACATGTGGTATTAATAAGTTTGATTGGAGGGCAAAGAGATAAATGGGTTGGCAAGCCCCCATGTCTCTCTTGCTCTCTGGTGATCGGACCAGTGTGTGGCTGCCTTAACAGGTTCTCTGCCTCAACTTGCAAGCTATACTACCTGTGGGATACCCAACCTGCGGATCATGTTTCTAGAGCTTGAGGTTCCTTCGAGACCTGCTTCGCCATGCTGCTGGTGTATACATCGCTTGAGCTTGGGACTGTTGGATTCTGTCATCTGGCAGACTGTTGGTGACCCACCCTGCTGTTTGCTGCCTCTGGCCAGATTGACTGCATTGCTCGACAGAAGACTCAGCTGTCTGCTTCCTTGACCTTGGACAGAGCAGCCCTCTTGAGTTGAAGGACTTCCAGTATATTAACTGTTTCACAGAAGTGAGTTGAACTGAGCCCTCTGTACCATTGTGTGGACTAATTAGCTGTTACATTCCTTCATGATATTTATATATATCTCTCTATATATAAAATCATAAGTGTCCTGGTTTCCTTTCTCTAGAGAGCCCTGTGTAACATATACACCCATCAAAATTAACATTCAGAAATGAAGACACAATCAAGACATTCTCAGAAGAAAGAAAACTAAGCATTTTCCATCAGCAGATCTACTCGAAGAGTTGCTAAAGGAAGTTTTATAAGCAGAAAGGAACTGGTAAGGGGATTCCAGACTATCAGGAAGGAACCTAGATAAATAAGAACATCCTGACAGTCACCTAGTTGATTCCCGCTCGTAATGATCTTATAGGGCAGAAAAGAACAGTCTCTGTGGGTTTCCAAGACTGCTCACTGGAGTAGAAAGCATCACCTTTCTTTTGCAGAGTGGCTGTTGGATTCAAACTGTTGACTTTGCAGTTAGCAGAAAGTCAGTCCTCAAATTTAAATGAAGATGCAAGGGGCCTCATATAGCCAAAGTAACCTTGAAGAACAAAGCAGTTGGACTCAAATGTATTAATCTCAAATTTTACTATGATATAAACTTACAGTAACCGAATCTGGTACTGCTATTACAATAATAGGTGCATAGACCAATGGAATAGAATTGACAATCCAGAAATAAACCGATGCATCTATGGTCTATCTATGGTTTATCACCAAAAGCTTATTAGTAGGGAGGAGGAGAAAGGGAAAGTCAGTGTTTAGGAAGCACTAATTATGGTGATGGAATATTTGGAAATGAATACAAGTTATGTTTATACAACATTATTAATTAAAACATTTATAAAATATTAAAACCAAAAATAAGTAACATGAGTGGATACAGTAAACTTTTCATCTTAACTTGCTTTTATTGCATTATGTTTAATGACTGATTAAAAATATGGTATGATTTAATGTTGTTAAATATGCAATGGAAATATTTTAAAGTTATAAATGAGTGATGGCAAAATTATATAAAAGGGGCTGTACATACAGAGATACCCTTCAGAGTTACTACTGAGAAATCAAACTGGAATTCTAAAAATTCTACACTCGATCTTAGCCCAAAGGCCTAGAAATGTCTAAAAGTTCTAATAGCCCATAAAAAGTTAGGAAAAAAACAGAGAGGCAAAAGAGTAGAAAACAATGGCCAACTTAAACACTAATATATCAATAATTATATCAGTTGCAATGGCCTATGCCTAACAAGTAAAAGATTAGCAGAAAATAACTTTTAAAACACCATGCCTATAAGAAACGCATTGCAAATAAAATTATAATTGGTAGATTGAAAGGATGGAAAAGATATACTATGCAACCATTTATTAAAATAAACCAAGTATGCTTTATTGGTATCAGATAAAGTAGATTTCAGCAGAGTCAGGTGTACAGTAAGGCATTACACAATAACAGTCAATCCACCAGAGAGATAAAGCAATCACAACTGTGTATACCCTAGATGACCAGACTGAAAAAGAAACCCAAACCCAATGCTATCGGCTTGATTTCTACTCATAGTGACCCTGCAGTTCAGAGTAGCTGTTCGTTGGGTTTCTGAGACTGTGAATCTTTATAGAAGCAGAAAACGTCAACTTTCTGCTGAGGAGCAGCCAGTGGGTCAAAGTTCTAATCTGTTTGGATCATAACCTAACTTACAATCCACTATAGCTCCAGGGCTCATTTCCCCAGATGACAGAGCTGAGAAAAATGTGAAGCAGAAA